TACCCTATCTGTTAGCATGATAACAATATTGTTTTTTATTTTAACCTTTTCGTATGTTGCCCTTGAGTTTTCATTCTTACTATTAATTTAATTTTTCGAGGGTGTGGGTGTGGGTGTGCCTTACGCAACACTTGGCATCTATATCCATACCCACCACCGCCACCCCGACCCCCACGCCCACCCACACCCAGGCCTAGGAATAAAAAAACAACATGCAAATATTGCGCATTTGATAAAGACGTTATCAAATTTTCGTGTGAAATAACCCATTCAATATACTGAAGTTTTTATAGCTTATATAAGGTGATGAATTTGCTACACATATTACTCATTTGTTTCAGTTGTTCTTCATTTCTGACTTACTCATAATTTCCGTCGTATATATCATAAGGTAAGTCTAATTTACAATGTACTTAATTAATTGATATGGAGTAAAAATATTTTACGTATCTATTTGATTCCTTATACTATTCAAAGCGAAACGATTCACAATTCAGCAGCACAATTGAACAATGCTTTTTTTGTGTTGAATCTGAATGAAGCTGTTTGTGAACAAACTTTATTTAAAGAATTCTATTTATTTCATATTATGATCGTCGAAAATAGTTTGGGTGTTCTTGACGAATACGATGCCCTTAATAGTCGATATGTGATGGAAAATCAAGTCTTTGATAGTTTTTTTTACAGATGTAACAAAATTATTTAGAATATGAGCATGCATGAGAAACCAACTTGACTTAACAAACTGCAAATAGTCACGTGCTATCAATCAACATACACAACTATTGCTTCATTATTAATTATGAATTCCTTTCAACAAAATAGAAAATAGTTTCTACTCGGCTTTTTCAATTGAAATAGTAGTAAAATTAAACGATTCTAGCATGATGCGCACATTATAATACAATTAAAATATTGAACATTAGACAAATTTTTGAATGACTGAAGTATGTACTAATATTTAGATGATTTTCCTTTGTCTAATAACAAAATAAACGGAAAATCAAATAGAAATGTATTTTCTTCCCAGCAACTATTTCGAATGGTAACGAAACTGAGTGCAGCTATCTTTACATATGTATAGCAACAAGTAACTCTTTATTTAGAGTTTTTCGTTTCAGAAAAAAAAAGATAACCTATCGTAGGAAAAATATTTTGATGATACGGAAAACTCAAATGATATATCGCCAGTATATCTTTTCAAGTATACTGAGAGAACAACTTCGAGAAAAAAAATACTTAATATGATATACAAATAATGACTAAGCATGATAGAAAGAGTTTCTGCAAAAGAGTTATAAGAGATGAAACAAAGATCTTTAGGTTGTTCTTCAATATTTTGCCCATTTTCAGAGACTTAAATATCTTAGTCATGATCGATAGAAATACTACAGTCATAATTATGGTTGGTCTTCTACCAATTCAAATTTAAATAAGATTATAAATTCCTTATTTGACTTGTGATTGATAACGATTTACTGTACTCCGAATAGATCGGTGTTCATGAACTTAATATATATTAAACTTGAATATTGATAGAGCATCGAACAAATAATGAGTGGGGACGAACAGGATGAATACGATGAACGACCTGAAATAGACGAGGATGAAGACTATAGTAAGTACTCGAACTTGATAAAAGAGGATCACTATTTGTCAATTGAACTCTGTTTATACTAGACGAAGATTCGACAAGAAGTGATGGCAAATCGAATAATTGGGAACAGGAAGCTTTAGAGGCGCACAATGAATTTCGAGCGCACCATGGTGTTCCTCCGATGGTACTCGATCAGAGGATTAGTCGCAAAGCTCAGGCCTATGCTGACTATTTGGCAGCAAATAATCTATTCGAGCACAGTACAGATTATGATGGCCTCGGTGAAAACTTGTATACGCAGAGTAGCTCACAATCATTAAGAAATGAACGTCACGGTATGTTCAAAGGGTTGGATTTTTGAAAAAGTAACTTTTTCTCTCTCAGGTGAGATCGCTACTAAAAATTGGTATGATGAAATCGAAGATTACGACTTTGATAATCCCGGATATTCAAGCGGAACTGGTCATTTTACTCAAGTCATTTGGAAAAAATCAAGGAATTTAGGTGTTGGAGTGGGTTTCAGCAATAACGGTAGACAAGTAGTTGTTGTTTGTCAGTATGGTCCGAAGGGTAATATCCACGGACAATTCGAAGAAAACGTTCCGCCTCCTGAATAATTTTTTTTTGAAAGAAATAACGCTCGCTTTGAATTATCGTACTCAATCAAGCCTGATCGACATAACAAAAAAAATTAATATGTGCCTACTTTCATAACTATAAATATAATCTACTGATATTCTTAATCATAGTTTCAATGTCAGGTGGACGTGAATGCGAGAGGGAGCATTGATGCGGGTTTAGCTTTATGTCAGTATTTTGTTTTTAAGATCAATCGTAGCTACTGATAGTTACATTTATGGTGTGCGCATGGGTGCAATCCATTCTGTACTTACCTTATTTCACACATTCTGATATTTATCAGTGACTAAAAATTAAAAGGGATAAGAAAAAGAAGAGAAACACAAAAATGAAAACAAAAGAAAAAGAAGTTACGTGCATCAGTATATATGATGTCGTAAGCAGGAGAGGCGCGTTTTGGAGACTCAGGTTCTCACCGAGTCTTCTTCTTCTAAAGTCTGTAGTTTCATTTTAACAAAGAAATCTTTCAACGAAAAAGCCATCAAATTCCTTTAGACACTCCTATTTCAGATCTTCATTAATTATTCCCTTGACTGTATGGAGAGTTCTATGAAAAAAAGAAGTTTGTGGCCGCCCTTGTAATAAGGGGTGGGTGTGGATGTGGGTGTGGATGTGGGTGGGTGGGGGTGGGGGTGGGATGTGGGTATCGGTGTGCTGAAATAGAAGAGGCACACACTGACGTACACCCGCACCCACACCCAAAATGTTTATGATTATTTGTGGCGGTATTATGGGGCTTCAATTATGAAATATTTTGATGAATGTGTAAAAACACACTTTCGACTGCACAAGCTTAGACATGATTTAAATTTTATTCGAACATGTAAACGTGAAAACTTATTGCCAAATTTGATTAGAATCAGATTAGCTAATCACTCATTGTATGGTTCAAAATGAATTAGACAATCTAGATTTAATATTCTTCAAGCTGACATGAAATTTAAAAAGAAAGTATATACTCAAACATATAGACATTTCATTCGGCTTAGAAATACAGTAAAAGAATATGTTCCACATCTCATCTATGTACGGCTTGAAACAAAAGGCAACAAATTGTATATAAGAAAATGGCAGATGTTGTTCAAACACATGACACAAAACTTGAAAAGCTCAGATTTAATAGCAATATGAATCAAACATCACCATCATCAATCTATAATAATAATAATGTTAATCAAATATCAGCATCATTATTCAATAATAAGAATAATATGGATCAAACATTAGCAACATCATTTTATAATAATAATAGCAAAAGGAATCAAAAATCACCATCATCATCTTCTAATAATAATAGTAATCAAACATTGTCAATAGCATTGAATAATAATAACAATATAAATCAAATATCATCATTATCATCGTCTAATAATAATAATATGAACCAAACATTACCAACACCTTTTGGTATTAATAATTATATAAATCAAACATTCCCAGCTCCATCAACATCATTTTATATGAAACCCGTAACAAACCCGTCAAATAAAATATTAAGTATCGATGAAATGAATGCACTTGCTAATGGGTTACATCACGTTTATTCATCAGGAGTTTTTGATCAAACAGGATTTATATGTAATATAGAACATTTTTATGCTAAACTTATGAATGTTAGAACGGATTATCGACACTATGAACAAAAACAAACAGATGAAAATGTAATTCATAAACTTACACCTGCTCAATTGAATATTGCTTGTCAGATAAGATCCATTTCAAATATGATAAAAGACAAAGCACAAATTGAATTAAAAACATTGCGAGAACAACATAAATCATCAATTAACTTGCTGAAACAACTTGCTAAAGATCAGTCGATCATAATAACGAAACCTGATAAAGGACGAGGAGTTGTGCTTATGAACCGTACGGATTATATTGAAAAGATGGAAGAAATATGAAATGATTCATTAACATTTAAAGTGATTGATCATGATCCAACGATCAACAATGAAAACCAATTAACAACTTTATTGCTAAAATTAAAAAGAGAAAAATTCATTACAGAGAAAGAATATCACGTAGCGAAACCATCAGGTTCACGACCTGCTAGAATTTATGGATTACCTAAGGTACATAAAACAAACTATCCACTAAGACCAGTAATGGCAGCTACGAAAACTGTTGCATATGGCTTGGGCAAAGTAATTTCTACTAGATTATCTGATTTAAGAACAAGTCCATATGTAGTCAAAGGATTCTTTTGATTTCGTGGAAAATATCAAGTCATCTACACATATAGACGGGTGTGAATGTGGGTGGGTGTGGGTGTGGATGTAGATGAGATGAATAATTACACCCACACCCAACATCCAACGGGTTACAGGAATTTCGGCCCAGAATTTTTGACCATCACCCTCACCTCCTCACTTCATCCTGAAGATAGTTAGGCTCTGGGCCGAAATTCCGGTCTCCCCACCCAACACCCACACCCTTTTGATTCACTGATATTTAATTTGTTTTCCTTCAAAGGACAAGACAATTAACGATTAGTTGTATAAATATAAGTTTTTGATAAGTTGAAACAGAATTATAATAACAAAATTTTTCGTGTGCAAAATAACCAAAAAAAAGCAATTATTTTTACAATTATTAATACTAAAAAAAATATTTATTAGTCTTACTATATCGAAGATTAGAAATTGTAAATTGTACTTTCAACTAAATTTCTCACAAAAAAAATCCTTCAAAAAACCAAAGTAGAAATAAAATAATGAATAAAGATAGAAAAATCTAACAATAATTGTAAAATATGATTTAAAACGAGTATTACAGTATAATAGCTAGATTTTAAACTCTTATTTTCGCTTACCAAATATCTTGCAAACTTTGCTCTCTTTCTATTATAGATATCTGATCAATACCTTTTTTCATGACAAATTTAGCTATAGAATTCAAGTCAATTGTTGAATTATTATGAATGGTAGTTTCATTTAAGAAAAATCTTTTTGTTCTACTTTTCAAGTTGATCTCATATCTTAGAACTAACATCTCTTTAATGACAGCCATACAATTAACGCTATTTTAAAATTCAAAAATAAAAAAAAATCTTTTGTGAAATTTTTCTTTTGAAAATATACGTTGCTTTGTCATGTTTCATATTTTAATCCTTTAAGGTTTGCTCTGATAAATTATTATAAATATTTATTGACAAACTATTAGATTTATTCTATAAAAAAAATATAGCATATTTACGTATGCATTTTCAATCCTGTGTATGTATGAAGCTTTAAAGATTTTAGAAAATGAAACATGTCCATACGATGTTTACTTTCCTGTTCTATTTATCTCGAGCTTGAATCGTTAATTCATTAGATTAAATTTATTTTTCCTAATTGAAAAAGTCTGAAAAATGAAAAATATTTTAGAGAGTAATAATGATAATCAAATCTTGGTTAAACATTAATATTCTCTATCAGATTTGAATAAAACTGTTTTAATTGAAGAGAAATACTATACAGGAACCAATAGTTCGAGATATTGTTTAGAGATATTGTCATACTAATTTACTTATCGGCGTATTAATTGAGCGATGGTTTGAGTAAAGCAAGTCTACATTGTTATTTCTTTTGAGACAAATATGAACGTACAACTGTCAGATAAAGTGAGGAAGAGTTAGAAATCAATTACATATGAATGTTATACAATAAGAATAAAGATGAAATCAGAACTAATTTTTCATGTTTCACTTTGGAATAATTAACAAGAAAACAAATTAGTATTGGTGTCCAATATAATTGAAAATATTTTATAAAATTTTGAATATAAAAATATAAAAGATTGTTGTGGAGTTAATCCTGTTATTATATTGAACTTTTTAAAAAGTTGATAATAAAAAGAGTACTAAGAAAAATCAAAAACTTTTTGAAAATATTAATTTTTAAAACTATTCTCATTATCTTTATTTTGATTAATTTCCTAATATACTATCTTTGCTTTTAAATTAAATTTGAGATACTTCAATATTCAAAAATTTGGATGAAGTTTTTAAATAAATTTATCAAAAAGTGAATTTTTAAAAAGTTCTTAAAGTAAAACTTAATGTAGAACTATCGTATCTCTCTCTATTGTCAATAGATATCAGCAATAAGATAAATTTTTGTATTAAGATTTTGTTAATAATTGAATAATTTTCAAAGATATATTTTCTTGTTTGTCTATTGTAAATAGAAAATAGAAATAATTCTTTTTAAATGATATTTTGCTAATATATAAAATGTTTATTTCATTATTCATGGATAACTCTTAACGTACATTTTTTGATATTCATTAAAATTATCTGAACTTAATTTAGTTCGGTTTAACTTCTCTTGTAGAAGGGTGTGGGTGTGGATGTGATTGAAGATAATATCCACATCCACACCTTCACAAACGTCTATGTACTCCGATCTCATTCTAGTCGAACTCTGGTGTCGACAACTCTTCTCTTTGTTTTGGAAAAAGCAATTTCTCAATTGTTTTTTTCTTCCGTTCATATCGCAGTTGATAACAAAGAATTTGTCCTTGACTACTTTCGTTCTTAATGTTTTGTCGATATTTTGCTATGGGAACAAAAAGATTATGTGATAGAGCTTTTTCTTGTATTTCTTTCTCTTTTTATAAGTACAATTTGCGATCTTTATATCATCATTGAACAGAAAATACATTCGCTATGCATTGCGGTTCAATGTCAATAAAAAAAGCCGATGAAGCAGAAGAAAGGATGCTGCAATACATAAATTCTTGCGTTACATGACACAATTTATAAATGAATGAAAAAAAAACAATCAGATTGTCTTTTGTATCTGTAAAATGCTTAGACTGCAGATTCGTCCTGAAATCTAGAATTTTTTTTTCGTAATTTGATCCAAGTGCATTGCTCAAAACTGAACTATGACAAAAGAAATGCGTCGAATGTTCTTTTAGAATGTAGATTTGTTTGTTCGAATAAAATTAAAAAGGCAGCCAAATAAGTGAATGCGACATCAAAAGAGATTCATAGCTAGTGTTTTGTAGTTTTAAGCAATGCAAAGAAAAAAATGTAAGAAGATTAAATAGAATCAGCTGGAAAAACGACATGATCGAAGAAAACCGCCAGCAGTCAAGAATCAGTTGTTGTTATTGTCGTTATTTTGTGGAACCGTCGAAAAATTTGTAAAATCCTTTTGGAAAGAAAGAAGCAAAAGTAATTACTACTTTATAGATGCTTGACTGAGTAGCTTACTATGGCAAAGACAGCTCCAAGAACGATCGCTTTCATCTTGACACCGAGATCCATTGGAACTACAAATAAAAAAATAATCATACAGTTTTCTGTTGTAAACAAGAGTGGATATTGCTGTTTGTGAAAGAACTAAACTTATATCGTCATTGGGTTTAGATATTACACCAGTACTATGTGTAAATTTGATGCTGGCGAGCAGTTACAATTATTATGAAGAGCATAAGAGAGAGATTAAAGTTAGTTAGTAAAAAGAGTGGCATGTAAAACAGATTATCGAAACCTCAATCCAAAATCCTTCACTCAGCAGGAGCTATGAGAAACTTTATTGTTTTTCCTATGGAAAGAACAAAGTCAAATCTTCAACAACATTGAGAAAAAAAACTGTTTGCTCGGAAAATGAAACCAACGAGAATCTAGGACTTATAAAACTCTATCAACTTTCCTACATGTTGTATGTAAAAAATAAGATGTTATTGAAGGTTATTTATCAATTTGTATTTTATAGGAGATTGCATGCTCTTTTTAAAGATGTGCTTTAGAAAAAAAAAGAGATAAACTGGTTTAGTATTTAGAAACGATGTATTTAAATAGATGAGTTATTTTTTGAAAGTTATAGGAAACTAACATAATACTCCAATCATAGAGTGGATCAAATTTTAATTTATCATAGGTTTTCAAGAATAATTATATAACTTCAAACGTAATCTTTTTTAAGGAAACAAATATGCTAGATGTGAGAGACATGTTTGACCAAGACAATAATTGCGAAGACTTTTTAGTGATATTTGCTGACGATTTTTTTGTGAAATTCACATACATTTTGCAAGAAAATAATAGTGAGTGTAAACTTAAATCGACGTTTTTGCGATTCTCTCCTAAGCTCTCCGTTATGACTATAGAATAGATATCAAGTATGATGTTTCGATTTCTCAAAACTCTCATATGACTAACACAAAAACACATATTAATTGATTTCCAACTTTCGGAGATAAATGACATCAGTCTTTCTCATCGATTGAATCAATGGTCAGACAAATAAATAAAAAAGATAAACTGTTAATCCAAAATACCTTTATTTTATACGAACTAACAAAAAAAAATGGACTCTTAACGATATTCATCAATGGAAAACCATTGATCGAGATTTTAGCAATTATTTTGGCGTTTCAAGTTTAAAGAAACTGTAGTTCCACTGCTACCAAATATACTAACCTTCACAGATATAGTTGTCAGCACTTGTGAAAGCTTCATTAAAAAAACCAGAATATTTCTTATGAATTGCTCCAATTTCCGTGATACCATCACTTCCGAACAACTATTAAAATACAGAAATATATTTAGCTACGAAGCAACAAATGTCAAAGTTATATCAAACAAAATAAACTAAATGATTTATTAACCATGTTTCAATATTCCATCAAAATTTCTATTCACCAGACAATCGTGTGCATAGCTCTATTAAGGTAGTGCTCGCTCAATCTCACAAATGGTATCCATGTATAGAGTTGCATAAGATCTTTTTTTCATCTGTAATTAGTCTTGATACTGGTGAATACTACAACATTGGGTATAGGTAAATGAAAAAGGTTATCTGTTTTGTTTGGAACAGGTCGAGATGAATGCCATCAAATCTCGCATACAGTTTCGAAGTGAGTTTACACCTAAGATAAGTATCGTCATCTTACACTTACCGATCAGAAAATCAATGGTAGACGAGAACACATCACTACTTACAGTGAATTTATTTTCACAGCAGCAACAACACGCTCCATCGCAAATACATCGTGGACCCAGAATGGTTAGATTGTCATTTTCATTGAAATCTTTGAGTACATAATGCATTCGCCAACAACTACCACTGAAAATCGTCAGAAGATCTATATGGAATGTTTCTTTGAAATAGGACGTAATTACTTCTGTTTAACAGTGCCGATGATTTGACCAGGTGGTGCTTCTATTGTAACTTCTTGTTGACAACCAGAACAATAAGCACACCAACAACATCCGGCACAACACGTGAATTCTCGATGGATTCTCATGACTTCCTAACGAGTGATCGACATTATGCGAATGAAGCATAGTCAAAACTTACTTGTTGCCTATTGTTCATGACATGTAATGTGTAACGTCGAGCGCTTGAACACCACAAACGTTGACAAAATCCTGATTCTAAAGCACAATTAATAGTAGTTTTTTACTTTTTAAATTTTATTCAATTGGGAAACCTTCAAACGCATGAAAAATTTGTTCACCAGTATTAGTAAAGATGTCGAATTTAGCCGGCATGGCAATTCCGAGAATTGCTGAAAAAAATTAATTCAGTGATGACGAATATCATTTTCACACATATACCCTCTGCTACTGATGGCCGTTGTTTGATCGACAAGGAACTTATAGATCGAAGAATATCAATGCCACTTGTAACAGCATTTTCTGAAGACATCCGTCCATCATATTGCGATGAATTTAGAGCATCCATTGAAACTGTATAACGTGCTCGACTCATTGTATAGTAATCTTTTCACTGTTAGACAATTATTGATTCTGTCGTTTTTTCAATTTTAATAGGTCTTTAAAACAAAATACTATCGTTTTTCGTTCCTGTCAATCAGTACTTGTCAAATAGACTCCGCTTACTTTATAAGAATTATTCATTGGCAAGAAAAGAAAAAGTCTGACATTCCGTCAGAAAGAAACTCTATCGAATGATTACGACGAATGCAAATAAGTAGTGCCAAAGGTAATTCTCTAACTCTCTTTTCTCCTGCTACTAGTACGAATATCAAAGAGCAAACATATTCAATTAGGCGCATTTGTAAGAGAGTAAAAAAACAGTGTTTCGTCGTTTCTCTGCTTCTTTTACTCGTGCACATAACAAAAAGCGAAGGGATTGCAATATACCGTCTTCGTCAGAGCAAAACAATAATCGATTTTGTAAACCAAAATATACAGTGAAAAAAAAACTACCGAGCCTCTCCCATTGTGCAGCTAGAGGACGGTGAATGATGAGTATTGAAATAACAAGACATCACTTTAGCTTTCACGAAATTTAGTTCTAATGAAATGATCAGTCATAAGATGAGTTTTCATAGCAGCACCTTAGTTGCTTACGAGTTTCAACTGATTGACTACGCTGTCTCTGCAATATTTGATGATTCGTAGAGTAGGCGAAATATATGCTTGTCGTTTCACTTTTCCCTCTTTCTGATATTAATATACTAATTACATGTGTGAGTTGTGTACTCGCTTCTCATAACACCCGATATTACTAAAAATGTTTGTGCGTAGGTGTGTCTACTCATACGTTCCTACAGGTTAATAAATGATTCAAGTATATGTGTATATATACTTGGATATAAGTCTGAATTTTCTTATTAATTCATATCCTTATCTCAAGCAAAAACAAGTTCTTGACTTATTCAATAAAGTTCTGAAAATCTATCAGAGAAACTTTGCAGGAAATGATTTAAGTGTTGTATGTGCTGCCATAATAAAGCTGATCTTTTTAGACAACTAAATTACTTGAAACGATCTGTCCAATATCGCAGGAGAGCTGTATAATTGTGTCTGGCAGATGTTTTACTTAAATTACAATATCGAGACCTTCACTAGACATCGGATCATACTCAACCAACATTGGAATTCACGCAAATAACTCTTCTATTTAATCATTCAAATTTCACAAGACTTATGAGACAATTTGTAACATGATCTAATGAGAGACTTTGAATAGTAGATTGTTTAATACAGAAAATGTGATACTCTTGATGACTTCTCATCAGCCAAAGTCGTTATTCAAAAAAACGAAACATAAGACAACTGAATGTAGATGTGTATTTTCTGCAAATCTATATCCACATTGCACGAAATTTGAAACTTGGCGAAAAAGATTCTTGTTCAGAGAAAAAGTCACTATTACATGGACGATTCAATAAATCATATCTACGAAGAGAGCAAAAACAGAAGAAAACGTCAGTAAAATATATTGAATGAAAATATATGGTCACAAAATGGAAGTGATTTGAAACTTGAAGCTCTAAAATTCATAATCTTGATTATTGAAAAACAATAAAGACGTATCTAACGTCAGTAATGATCATCTGTTATTGAGCTACAAAATGAAATTCTATCAATTGATTCTTCTGAGAGACAAGATTCTTATGTGATCGATAGAAAGAAACATGATCATGAAGAAATCCAACATTAAGTAAAATAGTCCTCACGTCGCTCTTATATAAAGACCAAAAAACTAATGTTTCGTGTACACAAGAGAAAGAAAGATTTTATAACTCAAGCATAATGTGCTCGTGAATGTAAATATTAGTGTATATGTTATTCTCGTAACAAAAAGAAACGCAAAGGAAAGTAAAAAAAAGAAAGAACAAAATATACACGATAACGAGCATATTGATAAAAAAAACTACCTATGTGATGAGAATATCATGCTCGATTGATTGATGTAAACATACACTCGAGGAAAAAATCAAGTAATTTTTTCGACAATCAATAAGAAGCAAAATCGACTAGAAACACAAAAAAAAGAACCTCGCACATTCCATTATTACTTAGCGCGTAAGTATATTTGGTTTCTAAAATTATTAGACTAACGATACAATTAGAGTTAAAATTCAGCAGTAACTAATGACAACAATATAATATGATAAAACATGAAATGAAACACTTTAATGTCCAGAAATTGATTTCAAGAAACGTGCACTTGTGGATGCTCTGTATATGCATACAATCGATAGTCTTGATAGCAATAGCTGTTACACATAAAATAGAGTGATATTTACAAAAGTTACATTTTACTGAGAATTAGGATGTGGCGTACGACACGAGTTTCATTTCTTAGAAAGGTAAAATGATAGCGAGTTCAAGAACGTTTGGTGAAATTTTTCAAAGATATAAAGAAGCCCTGACAAAAGTATTTGAATATCAATGAAGATAATCGGCATCACAGATCTGGACATCAAATCAAAACTCTTTTTCATAAAATTGGAGAGGCGTCTTGATTTTTCAAATACAATACATTGCAGAACTTTTACACAAAATACATCCTATTCACTCTTGTTTAGGAGCATCGATCAACGAGTGAAAACATTGGATAAATTTTATCGATTGACATATTCGTCTTTCTAGCGAAATCTCTTGAGAAAAAAGTAACTAGACAGATGAAATCAAACCGACCCGATCATGCTTATGAGTCGTAGTTCTATTATAAATTTATTGGGGTAGTGATAAAAGGGCCATCAGATAACTTGAGGTTTTCTAGAAGAAACTTTTAGAGATTATATGCTATTGTAACATCCTTATTTTTTGAGTTTTCAGAAGAGACAATTTTAATCTTTCAATCTTGCTTCTGAGATATGTGTTATTCTATTTTCATCATAAATAGTTCAGCTTTTTCCTTGCACGGCAGACTAGTTTCGAAAAAATTTGCCGTACAGTTCTATGACGAATATGTATCAAAAGCTTTTCTGAAGTAATTTGAGGACAAGAATTCAGCTAGAACATGAAATTTACCGAAAAGAGCTGACTTCTCCATTTATTACAAAAATAAATTTCAGAGTATTTTTTATAATAGTAATGTATATATGCGTATGGATGTGGGTAGAGTTATGGTTCTGATTGCATATTTTCTCTTTACCTATACTCTGTTTAATGATTCTTTTTTTCAAGCAAATCCTTCCAAACAGATTTGTCGATTATTCTGTATACTATGAAATCATAGGTTCATAAATGTCGTTATATTAGTGTACAGAGTATGTAACTATCTGTTTCATAAGTCATAACGCACTATGATGTAAAGAATTAGTAGTTTGAGGAAATTCAAAATAATTTGAATATATTTATATGTTTAGTTATCTTGATTTTAAAAATAAAGTTCTATAAAAAAAATCATTTCAATTTATTTTTAATTTTCTATTTTAATTTTATCTATTCAAAATAATTCAATTTAGTCTTACGTTTCAGTAGCGTGAGATGGATCACTTTTTATTAAAGAATCAGTCGTATTATGGTGTAGCACAACCGTTGACCACATGGACAGGATGAGCATGTACTATCGACACAAACTGAGAGCAATTGTTTGACTAGAACATTATCAGACGAAGCTGATATATGTTTTGTGCAACATGAACAAAAAAAAAGACTTAACATGTAAGTCGTTTCTTGTTGGCTCAGGATATATATGAATTATTAATTTTGAGGTTAACTACATCAATCTTTATGATAACCCATTAGTTTTTATGATTATAGTCATAGTTATAAGTTTCTTTTTTGTTACACTTCAAGTCAATCGATGTTATTTCAGAATTAAATACGAATTGATAGAACTTGTTTGTAATTGTAAGTTATTCTTTGATGAGTTGAGCTGTATCAGGTTAAACATGAAAAACTGTTATTATTTTCAATTCAAATTAATTCAGTTGCTTCAACATTAATTTTCATAAAGTTGATCAATTTAGTAGAGATTTATTTTTTATTAGAATTTAATTCAAAAGAAAATGTCAGACACTCTGCTAATGATGTTTTATTTATTATTCTGCTGCATTTCAGCCTATCGAGATATTGATTTGTTCTTGTGACCTGAGTTAATTCAAGATTATTTGCATGCGATTTGAGAGATGTTTAACGTGCAAAATACTTTTCAGGAAATGATGAACATTCCTTTCAAGTATATGTTATTCTTTTAATAAATATAATCTGATTAATTTTGTCTGTTTCTCATCTTTTTGAAATAGAGTATTTGAATTGTTGATCTCGTTCAATAATTTTCTTCTCCATATTTATATGATTGTCTGTTTATCAAATGAGAATCATTTCTATCGATCAATTAAGAGTAAAGCAAACATTTTTAAAATATTACTAATAATGAGAAGTATGAGTTATTGTATCACGTACAACAAAAGAATTGTATAAGATATTTTTATAATAGTCATGATTTTTTTTTCGAAAACTGATGTACATTATCATTTTGGGAGGATTCTTAAGTGTTGAACAAAGAAAAACTCTAAAAAGTAGAAAGAGACTAGTAAAGTTCTATAAATTCATAATTCTGAATAAGTTGATTGATGAAAATTGATCATATTCAGTTACCATGATATTGGAAACTTTCATTAAATAATGTCGAAGTCTTGGATAGCATCAAATATTAACAAAACTATGATTCTTCTAATTATTAAATAATAAAAATTTGACCATGATAATAGTGATGTGTATTGAGTAGTCTAATTCATATTTTTTTTCATATGAAATGTTGGACAAAACTATAACAAATCTTTGAGGATAAACAAGATCAAATTCAGTTGTCAATAGTAATTTTGATTAAGAGAATTTCATAATCTATCTATGAATAAGAAACAAAGATAGGTGATTATTTTAAACATATTGAATATCAATCAGTTTAAAAAATCCTTGATCCACCACTGACACAAATTCCAAGGTCTACCTTGTTCAAACGCAAAATGCTAGAAACTGTAATTTTCGACTGACAGATAGAGT